GCCTTCCATCGTCGGTAGCGTCACCACCGGAGAAGGATCGTCGTCGTCTTCAGAAGATGGTGCAGAAGATGGTGCAGGTATGTTCTTTTTCCTGAGCTGTTTCGACATGCCGTCTCACTTCTGACTCCAGTGTAATAAAGGACTCTTAGGGGATGTAGGTCTCCGTCTGTCCTTTATTGGGTTCTTGTCTCGCACCCCGCGATGTCCCCGGTCGGACCCGCACCTCTTCCGTCGCGTGCCCCCGTACGCCGTTCAAGTCCTCCGCTCTCTCTGCAGCCACACCGCTGCCCGTGTGCCCCGCACACTCTGCAGCCACCCCGCTGCTCCGTGTGACTCTGCACACTCTGCAGCCACTCCGCTGCTCCGTGTGCCCCGCACACTCTGCAGCCACTCTGCTGCTCCGTGTGCTCCCAAACACTCTGCAGCCACTTCGCTGCTCCACATACACCGCTGGCCGACGGTGCCGTGACTCCGACCACGTGGCAATAGAGCCACTCCTCCGCCAGTATCCCGCGTGGCTTCTCCTATCTTCACTCTCTCTCGACTCCCGATCCCCTTTCGGTTCTCACCCTATATCCTCCTCCTCACGTGACCCTGACTCCTCCTCCTACTCACGTGACCCTGACTCCGCCCCCACTCACCCCGACGACCAGGCTCCGCCTCCCCTATACTCCGGCCTGCGTGAGTGGTGCGGAGGCAGCGCCCACCCTGTCCTTGCTCGCATTACACATGTGTAATGCGAGCATTACACATGTGTAATGCAAGCATAAACGGGGTTTGCTGCTGGGCTCTGGGCCAATCATACGGCCCGGGTGTTATTGGGGGCGGAGCCCAGGATGGGGGCATATGGGAGTGCCCGCCGTTCACCTCGGGTCCAATCGGAAGCGAGGTGAATGGGGGTTGAGGCAGCAGGGCGCTATGGGAAGGCCGGATCTGAAGGTCCGGAAGGGGAGGAGACAGGATCACGTGGTGAAGGGGATATAGGTGGGAGCCCGGAAGGGCTCCGGGTCATTGGGAGAGTCACGAAGCTGGACCATGTTGGGTGGCCGGAGGAAATCCGCCCCATCAGCCACGTGGCTGGGGGGGCTTCGGCACACCGTCGGCCAGCGGTGTGCGGAGTGGAGAAGTGGAAGGACTGACGAGGGAGCGCGTGCGGGGTGCGCGTGAGGAGACGCTGGTCCGCTGTCGGGGCCAGCGGGGTGCGAGGAAGAGTTGATTAAAGAGTAACGGAGACCAGCAGTGTGTGACGAAGTCCTTTATTACACATGCTTTGAATTGCATGAAATACTAGATTTTGTTTTCATTTTTTGCAAACTATATAAGGCAAAGGTGCAGCCCTGCAATGATTTACTCACACCATTGCTGCTGGAAGGGCCTCTTATACAGGAAATAGAGGTCCCCTCGAAAGGATATTTGGCCTATTCGTTCACGTTGGCCAGACACCCTGGAAGAGGTGGGGAGTCCCTACACTTTACCCCACCACACGCGACCTGTCGTTCGACTAACTTTGGCGTAGCCATTTATACTGCTCGGTAGACAGAGGCAGGGGAGGGATTTCTGAAACTTGCAGGAATCTTTCAACTGCCATGCCAGGAGATCGAACCGGCAACCTCTGGATTGCGAGTCTAGGGAGATAACCATGGCACCATGGCAGGAAACGCTATGATAATGCTCACACTCTCCATTAGCATTGCGTTCAGTGAAAACATAGATACTGTACCGCACATTTGTTGACTGTGTATATAGCATTGGTACACAGAGCAATCACGCTTGTAATTGCAGACATTGAGAGCTGCTGGTGTGTCAGAGCTCTGTGTTAGGGTCCCACTAAGCCGGCTTTAAAATCCCAGCCCGAATGCTTCTTTAGAGCCCCGCCAATTCATCACCAACCTGTCGGTCCCAATCAGGAGTTCCCTATCACACTGTGCACTCACTACAGCCATTACCAAGCTCTGGATAAATGTCCAGCACTCAGGTTAAATGTGGAACAGCGGTAATTAATTCTCTCCAAACACCCACCCACCCCTCGCGCCGCGGGTTAGATTTAGTGGAGGTGTCCGCGATCGAGGCGGCGCCCGAGCGATTGATGCTCAGCGGTCCGGGCTGCAACACAGCCGTTGCGGAGCGGCAGATGCGTGTGTGTGGGGGCATTGTAACCTTTACCGTAATTATCACCTGGAAAGTCGACATATGCGTTTAGTTTGTTTTAACATTGATTCCTCCCCCCCCCCCCCGCCACTTTCGGAGAGCGCAAGGTGAAAAAAGCTAACTGCACTAACGGGCAATTAAACAGCTAATTGAGGAGTAAGCAGAATTGATCAAGACAAATTGAGCACATTTTGATGGTGGCACTTTCTTTTGCGTTGTATGTGGCGTCTGCTCACAATGCTACATCCACAAATGAAATTTGTATAAATGGTGTTAGCATGTTCTGTTTACTTGTGACGGAAACAAATGATGTGCTGTACGATAAAGGCATTGGGGAACAATGTGATGTGTGAGTAATAATCCCACATCCGTCCCGCTTTTTTGAGTCTTGAAAAATAAACAATAAACAGATGACAAGAAATGAAATGTGAACATATCATCTGGTGCCGATGCTGCTGCATTGGCAGCGGTGCACAAGCACAATTCACACAAAAACCCAACACGCTCGTTAGTAACAACGTGACCTAAAAAAAATATATATGTATAATGGGTGACATTATGGGCATTGTTCCTTCGTGCTATGATATAGATATATAGATATAGAATTTAACAAACATTGTTTTGGTATATTTCTCAAGGGCTCTATGTGGGAGTGCTCCCGTCTCAGAGGTACTTTGTGGCACACACCAAGCTTGGGAGATATGTTTAACATGATTGTTGACGTAACTCAAATTGCTTCGTACGAGAAATTCTTCGAAATAGTTCAGCTGGTGTCACGGAGGTTTACACTTTTAAGTGTGTTTAACACATAGGCTTTCGCGACCAACATTATCCATAATAGGAGGAATTTTCCACAATTCTGGCTGTCACCTGATGAGGCTGGTTGTAATTACTGGCGAAAGATCGTAATTGAATTTGTAAATGTTATTGGTTTAATCTCCAACACTTCGGTGTGCTGAACTAGTAAATAAGTGTCACGTTTTGTTTACGTGACAAACCTTCCTAATTGGCGGTGTGTCTGGTCATGGAGGGTTTACGCGATCTAACAAACAAACAAAAAACCTATATTAAGGACTTTAAGTTCGGTTTCGGAGCTCGTTTGTGTTCAGCAAAGTGAGCTGCCATGAAAATACAGAAGCTAAATGATTCCACTTTTTTGTCTGATGACTGGGAAAAACATCACACCGCATACTACGCCACCTTGAAATGTCCGACACTCTGGATGACACCGCTGGCGGTGCAGCTGCGAAGCGGCCCACTCTGGGAAGTGGCGGCACTTGCATGCTGGGAGCTCCGCCGCACGCGGAGCAGTGCTCCTTTGATTTCAGAAAAATAAATAAATAACGTCGCTCAGTGCAAGACATTTATCCTTTAGTAAAACACCGACTAGACATGAATATTAATGTCTGCTCTGCTAGATCTTCGAGTGAATCACACAACAAATACAACTGTTGGTTGTTGTCAGTCTGCCTCTTGATTGACTTAGGCATTGAATGTTAAACAATAACAACAACAAAACTTATATTTTTAGTAAGCAGGATTGTGTTAGGTTGTTTATTGTATTTGTTGTTTATTCATGGGGTTTGCCTCTTTCACTCACATTATTTAAATACTTAATCAGTAGCTGTTTTTTTTTTCAATTTACTGCAGCATTTGCAATTTCTTCATTATATTCCATCCTATAAAATAAGATATTTAAAATAAATCCTCATTGCACAGTCTGGCATGCGTAATTACGAGCCTCTTGTGTGCATTTGGAAAATACAATTAATGCAAAAATAGTATGCCAGCATACTATGTGCTGATTCTTTTTTTAATTTATCTGGGTTTACTCAGGAAAGCCTCGCTCAGTCTCAAGATTATTTTTCAGGAGAGTCTGGCCACGTTTTTTGCGCAGTAGGGGACGATGTTTCTGCGTGTAATCGCAACTCACTTGTTCCCAGGTAATTTTTTCAGCATTGAGATGTTTGACCAATACCCAGTTATATTGTGTGTTTTAATTTAGCGATGGGATGACACCAGGGAAACCAGAGGAAACTCATTGCAGACGAGGCGGAGAACATACAAGCTCCAGACTCTCCCAAAACACAGACAAAGATCCCCCGCATAGCTCGTAACAGACTGTTGGGGCAAGTGCTGTAGTATCAACGAAGGCCAGAACGGTATACAAGGGGGTGGGTGGCCAGCACCTACGCCCGACCATCTTTGTCTCCCTCGTGGTGATGTTTATAGAATGCACTAGGTACTCAATTGAGGCTGAGTCGACCTAGGGGATGCCAAGGACCAGTTCAGCTAATCGTCACTGGTGTTAGCTGTGAGTGGAAATAAATCTCGAGTTGCTGGGTTCGTTGTGCAGCATGCTTACTGCTACACTGCCGCTCCCCACACACACACACTCACACTGAATGCAGAACAGAGAGAGAACAAACTCCACACAGAAAAGTGCTTGAGTTATGAACAGAACCCAGGCCCTTCTTACTATCGGCAAAAGTATTACCACTGCTACAACCTTCCACCCCGCCATCCACATTCAGTTGCTTAGGCATTTGGCTTTGGCTGTTGGTCATCATCGTCGTCGTCGGCCGTGGTCAATCCACCACTGGATGAAGGTCTCCCCAAACTGCCGCCACCTCACGATGCTTCAATCCATCAATTCACTCTGTATCGCAATTGGAAAATGTAATTTGTAATTTCCCTGAAATGTAATTTCACCACTGAGCTGTGGCTTTGCTCACGGTGCACGGATATCGGCGTGCTACGCGTTCCCATCGCCCCTTCCCCTCTCTGGGTTTGGTGGGGAGGTGGTGGGGACAGTTTGTTTACTGTTGTCCTGTTTATCTCACGATCGGCAGACGATTCCGGCAAGCGTCAAGATTCAGGTGACAGATGTCAATGACAACGCCCCTTCCTTCCAGGGCCTGCCCTACCTGCAGCAGCTCCCCGAGGTAACGCGGACGCGTGGTGGAAGAGGATGTGGGCACCCAATGCACAAGCGCTAAACAAAAAGACCTCCAAAAAAATCCCCAGTGTTGCGACAGCGGTTGTGAACGCCAAACAATGGAGTGTATAACTTCACACGGCCCCAAAATATAAATTTGAATGTAGTTGATGCATTTGCAATCTGCTGACTCTCAGAAAAAAACAATGGATTGACTAAGTTACTTACAAGTGAATCTCAATTGGTTGCTCTTGACTGTGCACACGCAATAAAAGGGCCGACACCCCTCCCTTTGCTCACCTTCTGACATTGACTCTGCAAGCAATAATCTTCGACCAGCTGGCAAGTGGATAGTTACTATTAAGAGGCGGCGTATAATATGTATTGGCAGGAGTCTTTAATTTTGAAAAGCATTCCCTTCAGCAGCAGCAGCTGCTGAAGATGTTTACATCCACAGCATCACTCCATCTCACGCTTTTGCTCTGCCAGTGTTAACTAGATGCACGGGCAGACTCAGAAAGACGTCTTTTTGAAGAAAATTAGCTCAAATAACACCGCTGCCTCTGTTAATGGAATTAAACAAATGTAACCTTGCATCGTTCAGCGTGAGAGGAAAACAATGCCAAACACCCGCCATGCAACTTTCTTCACCGCTGCAGAGAAACACGGCATGGAGCGGTTAACGTGACATCTGAAGAGGGGCCGTGCTTATGAAACAGGAGGTGGTGGTTCTTGTCGGCAGGCAATTTTGTATTGGCATGCTGCCCCCCTCTTTAGACGTTTCAGGGAATCCTTAATGTTGGCGAGCGCACAGAGAGGATGAGCAGGTTTCATGTGGCTTCTGAAAGCGTGATGCTCTTTTTGATATTAAGCCAAAAAGCACATCATCAGACGTCATCAGTGGTACTAAATAATTAAATAAATGCGCGTGAATGTAAAAAAGAAAAACTAAATGTGTTTGGTTGATTGCTACGTAAAAAAAAAACACGAGAAAATTTTGGAATAATGGCACGCAATAACTCAGAACTCACGAGTAGATAAATAAGACGACAGTGGGGCCCATTCACGTTGGCTCCTTCCAGCTGAGACATCAATAAATGCAAATGCCCTCATTTTGAGACAAATTGAAATCGGCTTTTCCCCTCCCTTTCCTTTCCTCGCTGTCAATCACCCGGTCAGTGCGAGAGCCCCGCGCAGCTGTCGACTGCTGATAAGATGCAGCTCCGACTGGGGCCCCCCGTGTGTGCGAGCACGGCTGCTCAGCCACAAAAGAACAAGGACCGCTCGCTGCTTTCTGGGGTTTACAATTGCAGCTGTTCCAGGTAGAGAGAGAGAGTGAGAGCCATGTCAATGCAAATTGAGCAGCATTTTGGTGAGATGGCAGAGCCTGCGATTTTATTCCCCCCTCCCTTCCGGGGTATAGTACAACCGTAATGTGACAATTAAATTAAACAACATATGTTATTTTTGTGTGACGTGTAGAGCCCCCTTTGAGCTTGTAACCAGAGCTCGGCGGACGCACCGGCGGTGGAAAGAAAAATGTTATGGCTTGGATTTCATTTCGCTCTACGGCTGTCTCTTAGACGTGTACAGTGTACACTTGAGTGGTGAGTCCATTGTAGTGTCAAACATTTGTTTTTTGAGAATCTGCGCAGGAAAAGCCCAGACGTAATGTACTCACGGTTTTAAAAATAAATACTTACTTTTAATATTCAGAAAGGCGTATGGTCGTAAGTTGCCGGCCGCCACGCCCAGCGAGGATTTACTACGGCGTGCTACGGACTGCCGCTGCAGCCGAGAAGAGCGATGCTCGCGAGCGACATCGCGAAGGGCAGGGAATAAGGACTGAAAAGGGGAGGGGGGTGGGAAGCCGATTTCAATGCTCACGAGCGACATCGCGGTTGGAGAAAACGAACCCCCCCCCCCCAAAAAACACAAATGACAATGATCACGCACGTCTGAATGCACATAATGCCTGCATCGGGAGTGGGGAAAAGTGAAATTATAACAGTAAAATGACACTCAAAGTATATGTTGTCACGTTTTTTTGAGGTATTTTGAAGCTTTCGAGAGCTGGGCTCGTGCTCTTGTGAGCGCCCCTTTCATTTGATAGACGCACTCCATCCACTAGGGCTACAGCCTCAAGATGTTTAAGTACATATTTTTTTATTTTACGTTGAGAGTTTTGTAAAATTATTTATTTTCATTGAGTTGCAATGCATGATTTTTTTTTATTTCGAGGTGAATGTGGAAATACATTTGATGTCAGGAATATTTTTATTCTTTTGTATGGCGTTTGAAAAGAGCAACCGGCTACAATCTATATACATATTGTTCGTCCGTTGCCCATGCTGTGGATCTAATTCATTTGTTGTGCTTATAATATGGTTATGATTGTGGCTAGGGTTACAATTTGGCCGTACGTAGGAGGTGCGGTGGTTATATTAATTGTGGGTATATCCTGGTTGTTATGGTTATAATATGGAGGTCATGCTTGTGGTTATGGTTATAATGTGGAAAGTGGTAGCGTAGCGGTTAGCGTGCTGCGAACCTGGCGATCCGAGTGAAATTCCCGCTCATGCCAACACCAATGACAGCGAATATTTGAACTGATCCTGGGCCTCCCCTACGTGCACCCAGCCTCAAATGAGTACCTGGTGCGGTGTGTGAACATCACCACTAGGAAGGTAAAGGCGGCCGGGCGTGGTGCTGGCCACCCACCCCCTCGTGTGCCGTATCGGCTTTCATATGTGCTGCTCGCTAACAGCACTTGATCTAACAGTCTGTTAAGGCTATGAGGAGGATCTTTTTCCTTGGGAAAATGTGGCTATTATGGTTGTGGTTATGTGGTTGTAGATGTTATAGGATTGGAAGGATGCCCTGGTGGTCCCACTCTTTAAGAAGGGGGACCACACATACTGTAACAACTACAGGGGTATCTCACTCATCAGTGTGCCGGGAAAGGTCCTGGCAAGGATTATTCAACATCGACTTGCTAGGCACGCTGAGGAGAAGCTTGCGGAGCCCCAATGTGGTTTCAGCAAAGGGCAGTCCTGCACAGATGCCATATTTTCTGTCCGTCTGCTACAGCAGAGGTGTAGGCAATTCCAACAAGACCTACATCTCTGCTTTATTGACCTGGTCAAGGCCTATGATCCCATCAGTAGGCCTGGGCTCTGAGTTGTTCTTCATACTTTCTGAGTCTCTGACCCGCTGCTCACGATCATTAAGGACCTTCATGATGGTGAGCGGGCCCGGGTAAAACTATGTGGCCAGGAGTCGGAGCCATTCCCTCTTCACCTTGGGGTGCGACAGGAATGTCCTCTGACTCCCACATTATTTAACATATATTTCGAGCACGTAGTTTGTGAAGCCTTCAATAGCCGTACCGGAGGAATTTCCATCTGGTACAGATACAATGGGAGGCTGATCGATGCCCGTGTGCGGTCAAGAGATGGCTCCCTATTGGTCAACCACATTATGTATGCCGATGATTTGGTAATTGCTGCTCACTCAGAGGAGGAGTTGGAGGCGCTGCTGCTAAGCTTGGAGCTTGCCACTAAGAGATGGGGACTTACCATGAGCCCCACCAAAACTAAGCACCTGCCTGGGTATTTTGTAGCATCGGAAACTCCACCCCCACAATTCCCAATTGGAGAGTGGAGAGTTTCCCATACCTGGGCAGTGTGCTTATGACCGGCTCCGGTTTGACAGCAGAGGTCTCACTCCGAATCAGTCTAGTGGCATTATCTTTTCATCGGTTGCATAACGCTGTGTGGAAGCTACCTGGTCTGTCGCTCCGCACGAAGCTTCAGGTCTTCTCAGCCACAGTCATTCCCTCCCTTCTCTACGCTTGCGAAACGTGGACCCCCCTAATGGAGCATCTTCTCTGGTTAGAAACATTTAGGCTGGCCTGCCTATGATCCATCCTGGGTTTAACCAGGCTTGATTGTGTGAGGAGCTCACATATCCTTGAAAGATCTGGACAAAATCTCATCGGTGAGCTCCTCTGGCAGGCAAGGCTGCATTGGCTGGGTCATGGCGCCTGCATGCCCAGCCACTGCATGCCGAAACAGCTTTTGTTCGGCCAGATCGTGGGGGCTAAACGGGCACGGCCCGGGCTAGAGAAGAGATGAAGTGATGAGGCATAGGAGGATGTGGAGCTGAGTGGACTTGCCGATGACTGGTACCAGCGGTGTCAAGATCGGCCTCTGTGGAGGAGGCTCGTGAAGGACCCTACTGGGCAGTTGGAGGCAGTTGCCCTCCAACAACAACGGAGTGGGGAGGAGCGACGCTCACAACAACGAGTGGAGCGCCGGGCGGATAAAGCACAACAAGTTGGCACAGTAGGGAGCACAGGTGGTGCATCAGCCAGTCATCTCAGTCAGTTGACCCGTGGCATCTGGGTCTGCCCCGTGACCTCCTGCCAGCGGGCGTTCGACACTTCATGTGGCCTCAACGTGCACATAGCCACTTAGTGGCGAATGGCGGTTGTTGTTGTTGTAGATGTTTAATGGTTGTGGTGATATTGTGGCTTCATTTGTGCTTGTAAAATAGTTATAGAGCTATCTTGCTAATTGTTATACACGTGGTGTTTATGATATTGATATGAACAATAATATTGATGTTGATATGTCACATTATTGTTGATGTTGGTATTATTGTTGATCTTTCAAGTCATTGTTGGTGTTGATGTTGTTGATGTTATATTATTGTTGTTGTTAATATTGTTAATGTCATTATTGTCGTTGCAGTTGTTGGTTGAAAGTAGGCCAGCATGTGCCATTGGGAAACAAAGGGCAAGAAATCCATATCGCTTGCAATTATATCCAGCACAAATGCGAGGGCTGTGATAGTTGTATTTTTAATGGAATTTGAGATAGCTGAGTGGAGTCTGCCCGTTCCACCAGATTCCACGTGGTTGTTATGGGCAGTCATCAGTGAAGTGCGCCTGATGGTTTTCACCTCACCGCATTCGCAGTTTGGTGGGTCCTTGATCTGCCACGT